TGGCCAGGCTGACCCGGCCATGGGCCGAGTCCCCACCCCTGGGGGGATTTAAAAGCCGGGGAGATGTGGTGCTTGGGGACGTGGGTCAGTGGCGGCCTTGGCAGCGCTGGGTGACCGGTTGGACTCGATGAGCTTAAGGGTCTTTGCCAACCTTAACGATGCTGCGATTCTGTGATTCTATGCGTGTGTGTGTGCACGCGCGCGTGCGTGTCTGGGTGTGAGCACCAGTGTGCGTGTCTTCGTGTGCATCAGTGTGTGTGCCTGTTGTCTCTGTGTGTGCGCGCCCGTGTGCGCGCGTCTGTGTGTGTCTGTGTGTGTGCATGTCTGCGTGCGCGTCTGTGCATGTATGCATGTGCATCTGTGTGTCCGTGTGTGTGCGTGTCTGTGTGAGCATCAGTGCGTCTGTGTGTGTGCACGTCTGTGTGTGTGCACGTCTGTGTGTGTGCATCTGGGTGCGTGTGTACGTGCATCTGTGTGTGTCCGTGTGTGTGCGTGTCTGCGTGTGAGCATCAGCGTGTCTGTGTGTGTGCACGTCTGTGTGTGTGCATCTGTGTGTGTGCGTCTGTGTGCGTGTGTACGTGCATCTGTGTGTGTCCGTGTGTGTGCGTGTCTGTGTGTGAGCATCAGTGCGTCTGTGTGTGTGTGCACGTCTGTGTGTGTGCATCTGTGTGTGTGCGTCTGTGTGCGTGTGTACGTGCATCTGTGTGTGTCCGTGTGTGTGCGTGTCTGCGTGTGAGCATCAGCGTGTCTGTGTGTGTGCACGTCTGTGTGTGTGTCTGCATCTTCGTGTGTGCGTCTGTGTGCTTCTGTGTGGGTCTGTGTGTATGTGTCTGTGTGTGTGCACGTGCACGTCTGTCTGTGTGCATCCAAGTGTGCGTCTCTGTGTCTTTCTGTGTGTGCGTGTATCTGTCTTGTGTGCACGTGTGCATCTTGTGTGAGTGTGTGTAAATAAACCCCCAGCACACCAGCGGGGGCCCCCGGGGCCGCGCACGCCTGCAGCACACCCCACCCCACGCGCGCGTGTACATAGGGTGCCTGGGGGGTGCGGGGCCAGCGCCCCCACCTCCGCCGGGCCCCCGGGCCCCCCCCCGCGTGGGGCAAAACCGCAACACGCCAAACAACGCAGCGGTCAGACAGGGAGCCCGCGGCAGGCGCCAGCCCGGGGCGAAGCGAGGGGGCCGCCCCCCAGCTTCCCCCCCCAACGAGGGAGCGCCGCTTTCTGTGTCGCCCTAGGAGCTGGTGTACGCGGTCGCTTGTGAGCCTTTAAAAGCGTCGGTGGGAAACGGTGATCTTGCCTCTGCGGCTGAGCCAGAGCTCGTGCAGGAGCTCTCCCAGCCTACGTCGGCCTGAGAAAAGACGCCTCAGGAAGCGCAGCACGGGCTGAAGCCTCTGCCAAGAGACGCTGTTAAAGCCACGCGCCGCTTGGCTTATGGTTCAGTACGTAAACACACCTGAAATTGATTCAGTCTTTTAGTGGGATCTTGGTACAGCCCCAAAGCGTCGGCAGGCACCCCAGGCATCGAGTCCGACACCCACAGGAATCCCTCACGCCACCTGCCCGTCGCCTGATCCCGCTGCGTGCCCTGCGGGCAGCGACGCTCCGTTCCACACCCGCGAGCACGAGCTTAATGAAGCGACGCTGGCAGAGGTGCGGCTCTTCGGACATAAACAAAGAACAAATCTTGGCTGGGATTTTACCTCTTCTCCGGCTTTGGAGTTGCGGGTACTGGTGCAGGCGTTCAGACCAAGAGCAGCCACGGATGAAGGGATAGCGGAGCTCAGCCTAAGCGAGGAACCCCCTCCTCTCCCTCTTCTCTGCGTTTCTACCGTTACGAGAGACCCTTCACGCCCACCAAGCTGCACAGCGTACGCACCAACACAGCCCAGCAGCACCAAATGTATTTGGGGGAAAGAAAAAAGGCTGACATTCCCCAGCTACGTCCCTCCTCACCCAGGACTCCGTTCTGATGTCATCTGAAATTAATATCTACATCACACCACCCAGTGTTTTCTAAAAATTATTTTTACTCGGCACGGGGCAGTACTACCAGCACCGGGCTCACCAGGCTGGAGAGACACGGACACGTCTGTTAGAAATGAGGCGACAGAGAGGCGAAGACTGCTCTCCTGCGTAACAGTGACTGCTGCTGAGGTCCAAAAGACACAACGGGCCACGGGAAAAGATTAGTCGCTTTTTCCTCTTTCCACAGGCAACGATCCCTCTCTCACTCCACCCCCAACCACGCTTTAAGAGAGTATTTACCCGCCCTCACACTGTTTACAAAGAACTCTTGGCAAAAACCTTGTCAGACTCGAGGTGAACCGCTGCAGAGCGAAGGGGATCGGACAGTCTCTTCACAAGTTATCATAGTCGTCATCATCTTCGTGCTTCCTTTTCAAGGGGTTTGATTCACTAGATGTATTCTGCGATGATACCATATTTGTAGTAATAAGAATGTTCTTCGGTCCAATTAACGAAGGATTAATCAGGACATTCTGAACTGTCGGAGTAGTTGGCGTGGCTGTGAAAAAAAAAAAAGAAGCCATTGAATGAAAGGCTTGAAGAAACGACAGCTGATTTTCCCACACTGAAACAGAACTTCCAGCCCAAGCAAGCAGCGCGCTCCTAGAACGTTCCCGGCTGAAAACCCCAGAACGATCCTGAGGGCGAAGCAAGAGAAGACAGGAAAATGCTTGCGGGGGAGCCCAAAAGAGCGAGAGAGCGCAGAGGCGGCAGTTCCGCCGTATGGGAAATCTGCCTGAAACACCGTCTGTCCTGGTGGACACCACCGTGCTAGAAACGGGAATTACGACTACAAGTTACTGGAATGACCAGAGAGACGCAGAAGATGAGCAATAGTAAAAAACAGAAGAGGTGATGTAATTTATTACTGTCAATTAATTTCTGTTCTGCTAAGAAGAACCCCAAAAAGCGCTGCAGACCTTCACAGCTCGTGCTTTACCTGACTTGACGGCTGCCTGAGAAGACGGGATCTGAACGGTGAACCTCTGACCGGTCAGCGACACCGGGGTGCCGACTTTTGTTGAGACGGATACTGTTTGTGCTGAAGGTGTACCTGAAATGCAAAACAACTCAGTCAAAAGACAAATTAAAAAAAAATATATATATACTTGCACTCGTAAATTTGCTTTCAAAGGGGAACCTATTCTTTTCAAAGCAGTGGGAACGCACGGGATCACACTGATTCCGGATGTATCGGGTTTTCAGGCAGAACTGCACATTTACTCAAGGCCTATAAAATTCTAGGCTACAAACACACACGCTAATAGGTCAGTGCACGTGTTCGGTCATAAATTTTGTGAACCTTTTAAAAATGGATTTTATTTGGTGCTATTTGTAGTTCAGTGTAGTGCCGACATCGAGGAAAAAAACCTCCAACTTATGTAAGTTCCGTGAATAGTCTCTTCACGTACAGAAGTTATCACAAAGAGAGGAATAAAAATACAGAATATCAGTAACGTATCCACGTATCACAGATCACAATACTCTTTATGAAACGAATTTAATTTTTGTGATGTGTCCAACGGCACTCAGTTCAGGTGGCACCCAACACGTCCGCAGTGGCTGAAGCACGCTTTAAACCACTCCTCGTTATTTTTTCCTTCATAAAATCAACATGGGAAGCCCCAACCGAGCTGTTTCCTACCTAGAGTAGGAGTGCTGGGCCTGCTGCTCACAGCACCAACGCTCAGGCGAGGGACTGTTATTCTTCCTGCAGAGGAAGAGACCTGTCAAGAGAGAACATTCCGATTAGCATCCCGTTGGAAATTCACAGTTCCTAACGGGAGAAGAAACGGTTCTTCCCACAAAACCCCGGAGCGCCTATTTCACAGCAACGATACAGGATTTGTGTCCCAACACAGGAGTTCTCAAACGCTTCGTGGGGTGAACGTCACCGGCGTGAGCTGGGGAGCTCCCGGGCGTGACAAAACGCCAAAGATCGGCCAGGAGCTGACCTGGCAAACAGCACGCGGGCCGGCCCGGTCCGCTCCTACTGGAAAGAATAACTAGAACATTTTAATCAAGGGTTGTTCTTCTGCTCTGCAGCCAGCACCAAGGCATGGCCCCGTGTCAATACCTGGAATCTGACCTTAAGCTCCACTTTTAAAATTCTTTCTTTAAAATGGAGGAAATAAATATGAAATCCCCCACACCAAGACATTCAGCATTTCCAGCAAGCAGAGCAAATCCTCTCTCTTCCCTCTGAAGCAGAAATGACTAAGGTATAAGTACGAAATCTCCTTTAACATCTACACTACAGCCTTACTTTTGCCTTTTACAGTCTGATATGCAACTTGACAATTTTGCTTTAACACTAAAAAGATTCACAGGTGCATTTTTTAATACACTTTGCATTTGAAACTAACTAACAGCAAGAATACTTGTCAACTCCTAGAGGTAAAGACCACCGACCTGGTTTCAAACACTATTTTGCTGCGCGCAGGCCAGCATTTGCCCGCACGTACCCTTCACAGGTGGGGAAAACTCTAATTCCAAGACCATTCCTGACAAAGAACGGGGGCATTAGGAGGATCCTTCCCTACCCAAGCCCTTACCTTCTTCTGCAAGGACTTCAGCCTGTAGTTGGGAGCTGTCAGGCAGTACCTGTCGGGCGGGAGCCTCGGTCCAGAGTAAGGCTTTATCAACGGCAACGGCGTCTGATTTTTCTGCCTCGCAATATCTAACAAAAACTGGAGAGACATGGTTATGTTCCCACCTGTAGCCTTTTATCGTGTTCTGTTAGTATCGATACGGTTGTACTTACATCTCTTGGAGGTGGAGATGTAAAGGACTGGTCTGTTCGGCACTGGATCGCCAACCTCACGTCATCTGCATCGACGCTGGATTTCTTTGCATGGCTGGAGTAAATTTTTGCATCTTCCAGTATAGTAGTCACGTACCCTTTGGAAAGCAGAACCTCTCATTGCGGCTGGATTAAAAGAAATCAGCCGTGCCCCCCCGATCCCACCCGCCT